TACGACTATAGAATCACAATGAGTTCTCATGCAAACACAACCTTTCCCAATATATACAAGTACAGTTTCAAGGGTTTCATTAGGATGTATCTCAAAGTGGCAAATATTTTGCTCAGTGTCAAGACAAATGTCTTGAGATTCCAGCATGTTCCTTTCACAGATGAAACCTTTTTGTTCACGCACAATACATGCATTTACATCAATTGTTTGCCACTTTCCTCCCTTTTGATGGGCCCATACTTTACGCTCTTTAGGATAAAGTATAGTTCCATTATGATTGAGTCCTAATGCAATGATTGGATATACATTGTATACGGTGGCATTACTTATAGTAAGTATAAAGGCAACAATTTGATCATTTTCTGCATAATGGGTAAAGTTGACTAATTGCCACCATGCTTGAAACTTTTTCAAATTCTGAAGCATTATCCCAAATCAATTTTCAAATTTCAGTGGGCAAAGTTCCTCCTTCTCCCTCTCTAATAATAGCTGCTGCTACAGCTTGTATCCATAACTGCGCTTGGATACAGCTCAAGGCAAGGGAGGTATTGCCTTGGGCTTTTCCAAGGGCATTTACAATTAATTGATGATCATTTTCCTCAATTTGTTCCCAATGGGGCAAAACATCTGTTAGAAGCCATTGATTTGCTCCTAAGGCCAATAAGGATTATTTTATTGGTTGTTCCAGTTTCCTTAGGTCATCTGTAGTAGCAGTTATTCACTCATTAGGACCTCATAACCTAGTTGCATCCTGTGGCCCTCTTTTAGGGACCAACTAGGGTCAAAGAGAATTTGTTGTTGAATTATGTAAGGGCCTGTATTGAAGATGGAAGGAGTTAGACCAATGGGAGGCTGAGTCGTTTTCAAATATCTGCAGGGGCAGAGGCTTCTTATCCTTTGACCATGAATTCAAATAGTAATTCTGTGCCTCTGTAACCCCAAAGACAGTACAGAATTATAGGTTTGGTGAAAGTAAACTGTCTTATTTTCAGTCAGCTGATTATAAGTGGATCGGTTAGTTATTCAGCAACCAATTTGTATTGTCTGTCCAGACATGGCTTGAAGTTCAGCCATTCTTAGAGAATTGTTCCAATTCCATTCATCTTTTGAAAATATTTTGTTTCCATGTAGAACTAAAGTAGAGAGATTTAGGTCCTTTCTGTTTTGAGATGTTCCAGTGACTGTGCTATACTGTGACAATACATGGTTAAATGCCATGGTGAAACACCTCAGCTCCATGCACAGCCACAGTAGCTAAGTTTCCTTTAAGGTCTGTAATTGCATCAAGGTCAGGGTAAAGCATAGCATTATTAATCCAAACTGTTGATTCGTCATCTTCCAGCTGTCCATACACAGTTTGCTCAGGGTTCCTGTGAACACAAAAGAAAATAAAATATGCTCGGTTGTATTCAACTGGCAGGGTTAGAAAGAGGGTGAAATAGCAATCTTTGATTTCCCATGCATAGAAATATTTGGGAGTAGTTAGCACTATTACTACTGTTAGAAACACAGAGGGCTTTCACTATCTCTGCCATGTTTGGAACTGTGGCGGTCAAAGGTGTAGTGTTAGCATTCAACTGTCTGTAATCCACTGTAAAATGCCATTGCCTGGTTGGTTTCTTTACTGGCCACACTGGTGAATTGTAAGGTGAATGGGTCCTTTTAATAATGCCTCTTTTTTCCAATTCTGTTACCACCCCATCAATCCCCATAAGTGCTGCTGCTGACAACAGATATTGCCGATCATTAATGATTTTAGAGGGGATAGGGGTATGGATGTTTGTAATAGGCTCAGTCTCATGGTGCCTGAATCCCTTTGATGTGTCGCGAAACTCCACACAGTTCCATCAGGGAGTTTCCACATACAACCATGCAGTCTGTCAAATCCTAAAATATTAGTGTATGCAGCACCAACTAATACTTCTACCCTGGTTAATTTTTGTTCCTCTGGCAACCAGAGTGAAATTTTTGCAGTGGGGCATTGTTTTTCCACACCATTGATTCCCGTGAATTTAATTCTTTAGGAGAACTAAAGAATACATAGGGCCACTCCTTGATAGGGAAGGTCTCCTCACAGACAATGACATAGGCAAAGCAGAGACGCTTAACGCCTTCTTTGCCTCTGTCTTCAATGCCAATGATGGGCTTCGGGACCCAGGGTGCCCTGAGCTGGAGGACCGGGACGGTGGGGATGACAAACTCCCAACCGACCCTGAACGTGTGCGGGATTTGCTACTCCACCTGGATCCCTACAAGTCCATGGGTCCGGATGGGATTCATCCCCGGGTGCTGAAAGAGCTGGCGGACGTCATCGCGGAACCTCTCTCAATTATTTTTCAACGATCCCGGGAATCTGGAGAGGTCCCGGTAGACTGGAAGCTGGCAAATGTTGTGCCGCTTTTCAAGAAGGGTCAGAAAGAAGACCCTAGCAATTACAGGCCTGTCAGTCTCACGTCAGTGCCTGGTAAAATCATGGAGAAGATGGTTCTCGAACTTATTGAGGTGCACCTGGGGGACAAAACAGTCATTGGTCCCAGCCAGCATGGGTTTGTGAAGGGTAGGTCCTGCCTAACTAACCTGATTTCCTTTTATGATAAGATCACCCGTATGGTGGACCAAGGGAAACCAGCTGATGTGATTTTTTTGGACTTCAGCAAGGCTTTTGACACGGTTTCCCATAGGATCCTACTGGACAAAATGTCCACCATACAGCTAAATAAAAACATCATAGGATGGGTGAGCAATTGGCTAACGGGCAGGGCCCAAAGGGTTATGGTGAATGGGGCTGCGTCAGGCTGGCGGGCGGTCACCAGTGGGGTCCCTCAAGGCTCCATTTTAGGGCCGGTACTTTTCTTTTTTTACACAAAACTTCCTCTCTCAAGTGTGACACTGAATGTAGCTCTAAAAACCTTTCCTCCTCAGCTGTTACAGAGAGATTCCAAGATAAAAAGGATGAGACTAAAAACACTGAGAAAGAGCATTACCAAAGCAAGAGGGAACATGCTCCTACTGCAGAGGAGGAGAGTCAAAAAGCAGGTCCTTCCGGCAAGAGAAGGATAAAGTTGAATACAAAGAATACAAACTTGAGCTCCTGATTGGCTTCATGCTGAACTCTGTGCTGTTCTTGTCCTAATCTTGGTCTTTCCATAGATACTATGGTTTAAATCCAAATAGAATCATGCGATGAGGAAGATCTCACTGCAACAAATTCAACATCTAAAATCAAAGTTTACATTTTCCGTGATTTTCTTCCTGAGCAGAAGTGTGCAGTACTCCTTTTATATTAATGTAGAGATCCATCTTCTGTTGATCCATCTTCTTCGTCTTCGTCTTCTTTGTCTTCTTCATCTTTTTCATCTTCTTCGTCTTCGTCGTCTTCTTCTTCGTCTTCTTCTTCGTCTTCCTCTTCGTCTTCCTCTTCTTCTTCTTCTTCTTCTTCTTCTTCTTCTTCTTCATCTTCCTCTTCGTCTTCCTCTTCTTCTTCTTCTTCTTCTTCTTCTTCTTCTTCTTCTTCTTCTTCTTCTTCTTCTTCTTCTTCTTCTTCTTCGTTTTCTTAATCTACTTCGTTTCTTCTTCGTCATTATCGTCTTCTTCGTCTTTTTCTTCGTCTTCTTCTTCTTGTCTTTGTCTTCTTCTTCTTCTTCATTTTCTTCTTCTTTTTCTTCTTCTTATTATTCTTCTACTTCATTTTCTTAATCTTCCTCATTCCTTCTTCATCGTTACCATCTTCTTCTTCTTCTTCATATTCTTCTTCTTCGTTTTCTTAATTTTCTTCGTTTCTTCTTCCTTGTCATCGTCTACTTCTTCTTCTTTGTCGTCGTCTTCTTCTACTTCTTCATTTTTTTTTCTTAATCTTATTCGTTTTTCTCATCGTATAGTCATCTTATTCTTGCGTCTTCTTTTTTTGTTCTTATGTAGTCGTGGTGGAGTCGTGGTCGCGTTGTTGTGTTTCTTCTGTATCATTTCCTATTTCTTACTCATAGAGTGCTACGGAGCTGTCGTAGAGGGCTAATTCTCTATTCTGTTCCTTCTCCTTCTCTTACTTATTCTTCTCTTTCTCTTCTTTATTCTTCGTCTTATCTTTCTGTTTTCTTCGTTTTTCTGGGTTTTTTCTTCTTATCTTATTCTCTTCTTCTTCTTCTTCTTCTTCTTCTTCTTCTTCTTCTTCTTCTTCTTCTTCTTCTTCTTCTTCTTCTTCTTCTTCTTCTTCTACTTCTTCTTCTTCTACTTCTTCTTCATCGTCGTCATTTTCTAATTCATTTTCTTCTCCTTCTTCTTCTTCTTCATCTTTTTCTTCTTCGTTTTCTTAGTCTTCTTTGTTTCTTCTTTGTCGTCTTCTTCTTCATGTACTTAGTCTACTTCTTCATCTTCTTCGTCTTCTTCGTTTTCTTAGTCTTCTTTGTTTCTTCTTCCTCTTCCCCTTCCTCTTCCTCTTCTTCCTCTTCTTCTTCTTCTTCTTCTTCATCTTCTTCTCCTGGTAGCTTGGGTTGCTCAGCTACAGCAAGCCGCCATAGATTGCAGAAAGCACAGCCAAAAGCACAACAGACACCAGTAGAGTCAGGTCATGCTCCATTTTATTGCCCGAATAGCCTAACTTTTATAGTGAACTTAACAGGGGTGATTGTGTCTCACACAAGATTATTGGTCAAAAGCACTCAGACAAACAACTACAAGAAAACAACCCCACCTGCAAGAAAACAACCCCCTTGTGATTAGCAGTCACCTAGACCTTGTTCTTGAAGCCAGAGACTGGTAACAATATTTTTCTGAATTCCTCAATTGGGCGATGTGGGAACATTTTCATGGGAACTTCTCATAGTTGCCCTGGTAGCTTGGTTTGCTCAGCTACAGCAAGGCATGGGATTTTTTCTGTTTCAAAAAATCCTTAAGGGAAGGGAAGGGAAGGGAAGGGAAGGGAAGGGAAGGGAAGGGAAGGGAAGGGAAGGGAAGGAAGGGAAGGGAAGGGAAGGGAAGGGAAGGGAAGGGAAGGGAAGGGAAGGGAAGGGAAGGGAAGGGAAGGGAAGGGAAGGGAAGGGAAGGGAAGGGAAGGGAAGGGAAGGGAAGGGAAGGGAAGGGAAGGGAAGGGAAGGGATGTTATCAGAGTTTCGATGACATGAGGTGAAGTAGGTTATGTTAGTTGAGGTGAAGTGGGTAGTACTGCACTGAGGTGAGGTAATGTTAGTTGAGGTGATGTGGGTTGAACTGTGGTGATGTGTGCTGAGGTTAGATGAAGTGACATGAGATTAGTTAAAGTGAGGTGATGTGAGGTGAGATAAGGTGAGGTGATGTAAAATGATGTGGGTTGAACTGCTGTGAGGTGAGTTTAGGTGAGGGGAGGTGTTAGGCAAGGTGAGATGAGGTGACATGAGATGAGGTGAGGTGAGATGAAATAGTATGAGCTGTGAAGTGAGGTAAGGTAAACTGAAGTGAGATGAGATGAGATGAGATGAGATGAGATGAGATGAGATGAGATGAGATGAGATGAGATGAGATGAGATGAGATGAGATGTGTTAAGTGGAGAGGAGAGGCACAAAGTTGTGGGGAGGGAATAGGAGTGGAGGTGAAGTGTGTTGATCTGTGTTGAGGTGACATCAGGTGTTGCCAGGTGATAGGTAACGAGATGAGGTGAGGTTAGGTGAGGAGAAGTAAGGTAAGGTAAGGTGATGTGAGGTGAGATTAGAAGAGGTGAGTGACGTGAGTTTAACTGAGGGGAGTTGAGGCGAGGAGAATTGGGTTAAACTGCAGTTAGGTTAGGTTGAGGTGAGATGAGGTGACGTCAGATAAGGTGAGGTGAGTTGAGCTGAGGTGAGGTTATGTGAAGTGCGGTGATTAGAGGTGAGGTAATATTAGGTAAGGTGAGATGAGTAGAAGTTAGGTAATGTGAGATGAGTTAGAAAGAGGTAAATTGAGATGAGCTGAACTTATATGAGGTGACGTGATTACAGGTGAGGTGATGTTAGGTAAGGTGAGATGAGCTGAGGTAACCTGAGGCAAACTAAGGTGATGTGAGATGAAAAGAGATGAGATGACATGAGCTGAGAGGAGGTGAATTGAGATGAGATGATGTGAAACTATATGAGGCAAGTGGAGGTGAGAAGAGATGAAATGAGACAGGCTGTGGTGAGGTGAGGAGAAGTGAGATGAGGTGAGGTTAGGTGTATTGAGATGAGGTGAGGAGATGTGAGTTGAGGTCAGATGAGATGAGATAATTTGTGGTGAGATGATGTGAAGTGAGGTGTGGTGTGGTGAGGTGAGCTGAGCTAAGGTGAGACGTGTAAAGATGGTGAGGTGAGCATTCTGGTGAGGTGAGGACAGATGAAGTAAGGCGCTCACCTCATCACATCATCTCATCTCACCTCAGCGCACTTCATCTTACATAACCTCTTCACCTCACCTTACCTCATTTTGCCTCACCTCATGTCACCTCAAATTACCTCACCTAACCTCATCTCAAGTCACCTAACATCACCTCATCTCACCTTAACTAACATCACCTCACCTTACCTTAACAAACATCAACTCACCTTATCTCACCTAAGCTGAACACACTTCAACTCACCTCACTTCACCTCAGCTCAGCTCAGCTCAGCTCAGCACACCACACCACACCACACATAACATTACCTAATCTCAACAATTCTCACCTCACCTCACCTTACCTCACGTCATCTCATCTCACCTCACCTCACCTCATCTCATCTCACTTCACCTCATCTCCTCTCTTCTCCAGTAATCGCCAAATCTGACTTCTACATAGGGCCTCAGAATTAGATTTCTTCCCTGTTTGGAAGGACCCTCCATATCACTTTGGGGGAACTAGTGCTAGAATTAATTAATTATGGAAGTCACATGGAATTCACTGGTTTGGGGAAACAAAATCCGAGTTGGATATTAGAAGGATCAAGAGAAATGGGAAGCTAATACACTGTGACTTTGCTCCCTGTGGAGGATGACATGACCTCCCAGTAGTAAAAGATACACACTTTGAGCCCAAGGCATCACCTTGAGAAGTCATGGATGGATTACCCACTTCCAACCTGGGAAGTTTGGTGAAAGGCTTTTCTTTGCCGCGTGGATTATTGTTTGCATTGTTACCTGTTCTTGTTCTTTACACGGGAAAAAATGGTGCAGGACAAGTATATATTCACACACTGTGGATGTAAAATCCTGTCTCATTTAATTGAGAGTTTGGCTAACATAAGTTGGTAAACCTGCTTTGTTCTTACCTTGTGTATCTTGTAGACAGTTGCAAAAGCCTTTAGGATTATATTATATGTATAATTTTGTATACTGTAACAGTGAAGGATGTTTTTGGAGGCCTACCTCCTTGTCCTCCTTGGCAGGAAAAAAGGAAATGAGTCTCCAAACCCTGCATGGGACTTAATACAAGGACTTAAGTGAGATGGAACTATCGTAACCAAGGGGCATGCACAGCTCTTCCTTCATCAGCTGGTGAGGGAATTAAGATGGTCTTAATAACAAATTATGGAATCTGACCTGAAATGCAACAGTTCTGAATGAATATGGAATATATAATGGCAGCATTGTAGCTGTGAAAAGTGGAATTGAAGCACACCTCTGTTTGGAATATCCTTGGAGTTTAAATGGTGAATTTATTGAAAACTCAAGACCCCTTTCAATGTGAGTATAGTTATAAATGGGATATCAAATGGCATATTCGAATTCCTGATGCACATGCTGGCCACAAAGTCTGAAGGGGAAACAGATCTCATGAATGGGCTTGGTCACTTAAAAAGCTCTGGATAAAACAGAAAATAAACCCATTAAAATACACATGACTGACATCACCAGATAGTCCCCTATTCAATTGTACAAAAATTATTATTACTTGTACCCATGGCCCTGGGGACCCCCTTGAGACATGGCTTTTTTTTGGAACTCAATCCAAGAGCTGCGTACATGTGGGTGATACCCCTCCAAATGATTCAAAACTCAGGTCTGTCAGTCTACAGAACCCACAGATGACTTCACTAATGTGAGTATATGCAGAATACTTATCACTCATGCTCTGGAAAACAGGTTTCCTTTAGGAAGTAATTTAAAGGTCCTGTCATTCTTTTGTCCAATAAAAAGCTCAGATTCATTACCCTGTGTTTCAATGACCCAATAGGTTCACTAGGTCGAGATATTATTTATTTTAGAATGGTGCAAGTCTGAGTACCAGGTGTTTTCCCACAGAGCTGATACAACAAAGGATTTTCCATTCAACTCTGTATGCAATTCCTTATCAATATATTTACATGCTTGTACAATCCCCTAGCTGATTGCTTAAACAATTAATTCCCTGAACCCTTTCCGCCCTCCCCTAACCTCCCCGGAATCTCAACGTAATGGTCTTTCTCATTAGCAATTCTTCAGTTACTAATCCTTTAGACATCTCCAAAGCCTGGGTCATCCTGCCTATTCCTCAAAGTACATATTTTATCACTTAGGTGCCAATATATTTGCCACCTGAGCATGCCAGGTGCTCATCCACCAATGCCTGGGCTCCCTGCAGCACTTGCAGCAGGTAGAGCCTAGACACGAGGACAGTACTAGGGAGAATCAGAGGACCCTGGTACAGGAAGTCAGTTCACTGCACTCAGTGTTCCTGTTGCTCCAAGCAGATATTAGATTTGCTAGATGTTAGATGAAGTTACTTCTTTTCAGTTACCTAACAGTGAGTGGCAAACAGGTTGGAACCTTCCAGCAGAGTACAGCGGCACTCTGCCATGGGTCAGAGATGCCCATGGAGTGATACGGGGAAGGGAGGCCACATTCCTCGCAACGCTCCCATCCCCTCAGCTTGCAGGGTTACAGCCACCAGCAAGGTTTTCTTCCTAATTGTCTTCTCTGGCTGGTTCGCTCTGAGCACCGAGTGTGTGTCTGGTACTGCTGGCAAAACGCTGCTGCGCAGCCACAGGTACTGGGTTACTCACATCCCAGCACTCCATGGGCATCACTGACCCATGGCAGAGTGCCTCTGTGCTCTGCTTGAAGGCGCCAACAGATTTGCCACTCTCTTAAGGTAACTGAAATTCATAGAGTCGTAGAATCGTTTAGGTTGGAAAAGGCCTCTGTGAACATCTACTCCACGCTGCAACCCAGCACTGACAAGTCCACCACTAAACCACACTAATAAGTTCTAGTTCTACACGTTTTTGAAGAACTCCAGGAACGGTGACTCAACAACTGCCCTGGGCAGCCTGTTCCCATACTTCCCAACACTTTCGGTCAAGAAAGTTTTGCTAATATCCAAAGTAAACCTCCCCTAGCGCAACTTAAGGCCATTTCCTCTTGTCTTCTCACTTGCTGCTTGGGAGAAGAGACCAATCCCCACCTCACTATAGCCTGATTTGTAGAGACCTATTCCCACCTCACTACAGGCTCCGTTAAGCTAACTGCAGAGTGTTATCAGGAGTTGCCCGAGCCTCCTTTTCTCCAGGCTGAAGAAGCCCAGCTCCCTCAGCCGCTCCTCATAAGACTTGTTCTCGGGACCCTTCAGCAGCCTCGCTGCCCTTCTCTGGACATGCTCCAGCACGTCAATGTCCTTCTTGTAGTGAGGGGCCCAAAACCGAGCACAGTATTTGAGGTGCGGCCTCACCGGAGCTGAGCACAGAGGGACAATCACTGCCCTAGTGCTGCTGGCCACACTATTTCTGGTACAAGCCAGGATGCTGTTGGCCTTCTTGGCCACCTGACCACACCGCTGGCCCATATTAAGGCAGCTGTCGCCCAACCCCCCAGCACCCTTTCCGCCAGGCAGCTTTCCAGACTGTCTCCTCCCCCTGCCTGCAGTGTCGCATGGGGTTGCTGTGCCCCAAGTGCAGGACCCGACACTTAGCCTTGCTGAACCTCAGACAGTTGGCCTCAGACCATCAGTCCAGCCTATCTAGACCCCTCTGCAGAGCCCTCCTACCCTCGAGCAGATCGACACTTGTGCCTAACTTGGTGTTGTCTGGAAACTTGCTGAGGGTGTGCTCGATCCCCTCGTGCAAATCCTTGAGAAAGATATTGAAGAGAATTGGTCCTGGTACTGAGCCCTGAAGGACACCACTAGTGACCGACATCCAGCTGGATTTAACTCCATTCACCACACGACTTTGGGCCTGGCCACTCAGCCAGCTTTTAACCCAATGAAGCGGACACTTGTCCAGGCCTCCAGCAGCCAACTGCTCCAGGACAATGGTGGGGGAAACGGTGTCAAAAGCCTTACTGAAGTCTAGGTAGACCATACGCAGGGCCTTTCCCTCATCCACTGAGCGTGTCACATTGCCGTAGAAGGAGATCAGCTTTGTCAAGCAGTACCTACCGGTGCTAAACAGCCACCGCTCCATACAGCAGGCTGTGCAATGGGGGTACTCAGCACGGGGCTGCAAAAACACCTGTGAACCCAGGAGTGCTGGGCCCCTGTGGAAGAAACCACTGCCCATCACAGAGTGGGGAAGAGGACGTAGGGATGCAGGCGGTCTGTCTGGACTCCTCTCCTGACCCCTCTCCAAATGGGGGCTGGTGTTCACACAGTGCTCCACAGGCCTCTGCAGCAGCCTGCTTGCATTGGTCCCTCCCAAACAGAGGTGCACCAACGTGTGGCACCAGCTGCTCCTCATCTCTTTCTCTTCCAGGTGGATGCTCAAGGAAATCCTCCACTCAGGAGAGGTCCCAGGCTACCAGGCCTCCAGTCCTTCCCTCAAGCTTAGCACTGGTGCTGCCAGAGAAGATCCAGGTGTCTGGGTGCTAGCAGATGAGGGTGGACCTGGAACTCCCCCCCCCAAACACACAGACACACAGAGCAGAGCTTTGCTGGAGGGCTTTATTGATCATTAGAGGAAAAAGGTCCAGGGCTCCCATGACATCAGGTCGGTGCGTCCAGGGCTGATCATCTCCTCATGCCACTGGGGGGGTGAGGACACGGGGGGTCCACATCATGTCTTCTCCTGAAAGACACAGCCGAAAATGTGCCCCCCAAAGTCCACCGGGACAAGAGAAGCTTTGTCCCTGTGGGGTTTCTCTCAAAGGACCAAGGGAATCTCTCCCATATCTGCGGTGTCCCTGGGCTGCCTGCATGGCAGCCAGAATCCTGCCTGTCCCTTACAGAGACATTCCTGGTCCGTACAGAACTGTGGAGCACAAGGGAAAGACCGGGGGATGGCATTTCCCAGGTCCCTCCAGAGCAGGTCATGGGCAGCCCCTTTCACCCAGACCCAGGCCCTGACACCCAATTCCCCAAGGACTCCGGGTTCTGCCAGGGTCACCTGGCAGCCTTTGTGGGGCTCCTACCCACCTAGGCATGGAGGGCTGCAGACAGGCTTCTCTTGCGCAAGGCCTTTACGTCCGTGTCCAAGGCAGGCTGGAGAGAAAGGGAGTGTTAGGGCCAAACTGGGTTGTACTGGGAGGCAGGGGAAGGCAAGGGGGGCTCTGGGGAAAGGGACCTCCAGGGAAAATTCTGTGGGTGCTTGAGTGAGTATTGTGGGGCAGTGGGGTATAGTGGGACACACTGGGGTTGCCCAAGACACTGAAGTGCCTTGGGAAAGGCAAGGGAAGGCCTGAAGCCTCCAGATCTTGTGGTGCCTCCCAGAGCCCCTTCTCCTGCACATTGTCCGCCTGCAGCAGGAGGCAGCCCATGAGAGACCTGGTAGGTCACAGGGATGTCCCCATGTGCCATGAGGAATGAGAAAGGCGAGCACAACTCTGCGCTTCCTCGGCCTGGCCAGCCCCAGGGTCACCCCGCTACTCACTGGCACAGCAACATCTTCACTTGCTGTCACATCAACATCTGCCACGTCCTAGGGAAGAAGAGCCATGAGGCAGTCGTGAGTGGAGCTCAGTGGTGATGGGATGGTGTTGGGCTGGTGGGGTTGGGTAGTCCCAGGGTTTTGCTGTCCACCCCTCCCCTTGGCTCGGCGCGAGCGCTCCCCATAACCTCACTGCTCCTAAGGCTTCTCTGGGATGTCTGCCCGTGCAAGGACAGCAGTGTTGGGGATGGAGGACAAGGAGAGTGTGGGGAATTGGGGTACCCAAAGGAAGGGAGTTGGAGTCTTTGCCAGCCCCTTGCTTGGCAAAGGGAGAAGCAAAGCAAGGAGGTTTGATGCTCACCACTGCGGATTTCTTTTGCAAGAGAGTTGACAGCTGTCAGCTGGGGGAGGAATCCCAGCCCAGTCTGGCCAGAAATCTCTGGAAGGTCACCTCTTTGGGGTCCTATTGCCCAGAGTGAGACCTGAGGGGCCACGTGAGCACTTACCACCTGGTCCAAGGCCACCTCAGATGATTCAGCAGGACGAAGAGCCACCTGTGGCAGGAGAGAAAGGAGCAAGAGAAGGCATGAAAGAGACCGGGGCAGCCAGGCACGGACCCACATTGCGTTGAGATCCCAGTGTCCAAAGAGGGCAAAGTACGCCTGGCCAGAGGGGCCCCCTGCAGCCCATCCCCACCTCCAGCCTTCAGCCTGTGCCCACGATGGGGGGCTCACCTTCGCATCTGCCGGGTGGCACAGGATGGCGAGGAGCAGGGCCACACTGAGCACAGCGACCTTCATCTTCCTCTGTGGTCTGGTGAGTCTTGAGTGAAGCTGGAGAAGGTGAGGGACAAGATTTATTTGTGCCCGGTCTCCTCCTGTCTCCCCCAAGAGCCCCTGGGGCAAAGCTGGGTTTGGCAGGGACACCAGCCCTGGCAACAAGCCCAGCCCTGGCACAGACTGACCCCCACCCCTGGCACTCAGCCAGCCACCTTCCCCGGCACCAGGCCAGCTTCCTGCGTGGGGCAGCTCCATGAGGCAGCTCCATCCAGGCATGAGTTGGTGGGGGGCAGTGCCTCACCTTCTCCTGGTCGGTCTGCCTGTGCCCCCCACCTGCCTCTGCCTCATTTCTCCCTGTCCAGTCAACCCCCCAGGGCTCCCCGTGTGCCAGTATCTTGCCTGAAAGTGGGGCTCTCCAAGCACCGTTGTCCCAGGCACTTTTCCGGGCCTTTGGAGAAAGAGGAGACTGGACTCAGTGCGGTTCATGGGCTAGCAGGAACTGTGGGAACTGGGGACACTGGAAGGTGGTGGTGAGGTTTAGAGGCATGATCAGTGGGCACTCTTGGGGAACTGGGAAAAAGAGTACAGTCAGCGGGGATACTGGGCAGCACTGGAAATGAGTTGTTCTGGTGACGGGTGGGCAGCAGGAGATGGCAGGCTAGCCTTGCAAGGTTTTCTGCAGGCCCCAAACTTGTCCCCCTCTTCGGGCACTCTTGCCCTCCCCAGTGTGGAGACCAGAGAGGAATGTTGCCAGAG